GTTGTGCCACCTTCTCTTACGTTGCTCTTCCTTGTTCTTCCAAGCTATGCTTCGATCTTGTCATGTTCTAACTAATATGTCAGTAACACCGCTCACTAAGTACTCTTTCTTCTATTACAGAAGTTACCTTAACTACAGCACGTATAGCTTTTGTTTATTTATTTATTGTAATCCCATGTATAGCAAATAGTTCTTGGATAGTTATTTTTAATGACAATGTTCCAAGATTTACCCATTTCTATGTTGTGTGTTTGTGCTGCTTTTAGCTTTTTACATTATATGTTGCCTCATAGCAATCAGTGCTAAATAAATAAACAGATAAATGAATTTTATTATGTAAATTTTGCCATAAGTACATTCAGTAAAGACCAATATAGACTGTACACTCACATTTGTGTTCTACTTTTACATTAAAATATTCTTTCCGTAAACAATAGACCTGAACAAAAGCCCCTGTGAGAACATCTGATGTGAATGACAGGGTTACAGCTGTTTCTACCTTCTGAGGTGCACAGAATTAAAAAGTCCATCGGTCATTAATGTTGTTTTCGGGTTTCCGAGATCCTCCTTTGGGTGGGTGTGCCTTTTGGGCATTTCCCAGTTAATTCATATAAAGTCATAGAATGGCTACAGAACTGTCACGAAATTCAGAAAACACTCCAACATTACCTTTCGGCGAACGNGTCATGTTCTAACTAATATGTCAGTAACACCGCTCTCTAAGTACTCTTTCTTCTATTACAGAAGTTACCTTAACTACAGCACGTATAGCTTTTGTTTATTTATTTATTGTAATCCCATGTATAGCAAATAGTTCTTGGATAGTTATTTTTAATGACAATGTTCCAAGATTTACCCATTTCTATGTTGTGTGTTTGTGCTGCTTTTAGCTTTTTTACATTATATGTTGCCTCATAGCAATCAGTGCTAAATAAATAAACAGATAAATGAATTTTATTATGTAAATTTTGCCATAAGTACATTCAGTAAAGACCAATATAGACTGTACACTCACATTTGTGTTCTACTTTTACATTAAAATATTCTTTCCGTAAACAATAGACCTGAACAAAAGCCCCTGTGAGAACATCTGATGTGAATGACAGGGTTACAGCTGTTTCTACCTTCTGAGGTGCACAGAATTAAAAAGTCCATCGGTCATTAATGTTGTTTTCGGGTTTCCGAGATCCTCCTTTGGGTGGGTGTGCCTTTTGGGCATTTCCCAGTTAATTCATATAAAGTCATAGAATAGCTACAGAACTGTCACGAAATTCAGAAAACACTCCAACATTACCTTTCGGCGAACGCCGTGAGTGCTGAGAAAAGAATAGGGGGAAGGGGAATTCCTGAGCGCGTGGAAACCCAGCCGCTGTAGTATTACGCGAAAGTTCTGCTTATTCCTGCCCTTAAGTTTGTATCTTTAGCCTTACAGTGGTTTGAATGACCTCAGTGGGGTAGTGGGACCGTAAGGGAAATAAAATTTATTCTTCTTGGATTGACAACCCCGATTCCGCTTTACATCAGCAACATTTTGCCATTATATGCCGGAAATCGTTCTAACTTCGCCTCCCGTCTGGTAGACCCCATGGTGCATCCCCGAGCAGTTAACACAGGGTGCTTCGTCGTCAGGTTATTTGAAAAGTCCTTTTCTGAGACATAGTAGATATAGTTATAATTCTAAGTTAGAAGATATGCTTGTGTTTTATAATTAAATATTTTTTTCGCTATATGTCTTGACACAGCAAATGTTGACATACTCTAATTGTAAGCTCTCATGACCTCTGGGTGCACCCTCTGCTGTTAACCCTATTTGTTGCTCTGTGTGTGTTTTGCTGGGTTCTAGCATTTTTGCCGTTGTTTTGTTTCTCTCATTTAGCTCCTACTGCATTTTTCGCTTTGCATTTTATATGTGGAACTCTAGAGCGACTTTCCTTTTCCATGATTTTATTGCTTTATTACAAAAATTTCAACAGCACACCATGGGATTACATACCGAATATTTGAAAGCGATAGGAGGCCGATTCTATTCAACACTGAGCCCGATTCCACAGTTGAAGCCTTCTGAACAGTATCCTCTCCGAGCACTCGGAATCGACCTACTCGTTTCGTGCCTCTGGAACCTTTCAGCAGTCCCTGCGCTCATATGCAGTTCTCGGATTTCTAGGGGGTTTCATTTTAAAGCTGAACTATCTTACGATCAAACACACTGAAATCCTAAAGTACATCTTCTGAACTTCTGTCCACAAATGTGTGCTATAAATTCATTCGGTGGGTGACGTAATGTAAATCGTAATGTACCTCAGGGAAAAAATGGTAGTTGATGGACTAGCCGGAAGAATATTTCCGATCTCTCCCTGGCCCCACTCTAAGATCACAATCATCTCCAGTGGGGCGGCATGTTCAACGCTTTGAATCGAGAACCTCCTCAAAGGTCCAGGACTACATCACACCACCCAGGAGATTTCTCCGCACATCGAAAAATCTATCCTCAAGGCTTCCTTCTCAAGACATGGTAATACTTTCACCAAAATTCTGTGCATAGCCCCATTATGTGCAATTTGCATCTTTTGCCAAAATAGTTTTGGCTTGAAAAGCTTATGCTCTATTCAATAGCCTTATAGGTCACGAATACGTTACATCAGCGAAAGAACTGATAATCACCTATTGTTGTGTCTAGATCAACCCTCCAGTTCATAGTTAGGAACTGATCACTGATAAGTGATTGTAGTCTTATCGTGCTTTGACGCACTACTCTGTTTTACAAACTGTAGCCAAAATGGTTCACCATTTAGGTGGGTGTTGCGGGGGTGACTCCATAGAGAAGATGAGGGTAGGTGCGACATAAATGTAACAATGCACACAATGACTGGCTGAAGCAGTCTGTGTTCTATCCTACTGAACCAGTATGGTGCCAGTCTGAAGACTCGTACACCACGGGTTCTCTACTCCTTGAACTGATATGACTGAGCTTTTAGACTTAGTTCGGGATCCCTTCTGCTCCATTGGCGTACTTTACAAACCGTCAACAGTTTGCGATATCGTAAACCGACTGGTCGCAGTCTAGTGTAGCTCTCAGTTTGTCGACATAGTGTAGTTTGAACACTGATAGGAAGATAGCCGTTACTCGAGATCGTTTCAAAGCAAACAATTACCTGTACTCAGCAACTTGCTATGTTTTTTGGATTCAGTGTCCAAAATACGGCTCTTTTTTGAATTTTACGGCAATCAGCATAACTCAACTCTTTTTATTAATTGCATAGCCCCTCACTACTCGAAGTCCCCTTCTTTAGGCTATTCATGCCGTGTCCGATGAATCCTCAATATCTTCTGCGCATGTCTCTCAAAAACCTCTTTCTTTTCTCCCGAAAGTGCTTCAAGAGGAAATAATTGTGCATGATGATCGTGAACATTTTTTTTCGAGAATTCAGTTTCCTGTTCCCGACGGCCTTACGGTTGTTTGTACTGCAGTACTTCCGAAGCAAATATGGCAATCCGTAGATGCTCTATGTAGTCGTACATTAGCTTCGAACTATCATGAAGTAGTGCCAAAAGAGCGAAATTTTCTGATTCATTTCATTCATAGAATGGTCAATCCGCTAATTCGACCAAATGACAATCCAGACATTACGAAGGAACGACGTGCTGGCACGTTTGATGTGCGAAAAATGGCCAGCTTCCTCTACGGCGGCGAAGATAAGCTCCAGGTAATTTCCAATCATGACGTTTACATGCCTCAAAAGTTACGCTCAAAGACACAGTTCACGAAAAACTCTTGTCTGAGGTATACACCTAGAATTAGTTTGTGACATCCGAATATGCCATATATGGCACTGTTAGATCATAACAATATGCTAAACAGTGCGTAATGAAGGCTCAGTGATTGTATCCTTCGTTGTATGTCACTCCTAGAAGGGGACGAGTTTCAAAGACGTTATAGAGGCTGCACAATTCGCAAGACACTCATGTTAGAAATTACAACAGTTATTCGTGACCCATCGCGGTACTGGAAGGCGATTTCTTCCTTATTTTTGGCATAATATAACCAGCTCTTTACGCAATTGCAGCAACTGACATCTCGTCCAAATATCCCTTTCATAGCGTCTCTGTCATAGTAATCTTGTACAATCCCTACTTTCACTACTTTTTAAAAGCCTTAAACTTCACGAATTTCGTAGAGTTTTCCCGCTTTCTTAGGCAGTGATGCGCTAGCCTTCACCAACTTTTTCGTTTCCCAACTCGAAAAGAGTACCTTAGGATTATGGTGATCTCTGTCTTTGAGAGCTATTCTTCTGGGCTGATCTATTTTGCAGTAGGAAATAAGCCTTGCTTGGTAGAGCAAGAGTTTCCTCGCTCTTAGGTGTGGAGTAATTTTAAACAGAAGCGAAAACTCGAAAACTCACCAGATATCTCATCAATTAAAAAAAGTAAAGTTGAAAAAATGATATGAACAGAAAAATGCAATAAGACAATCTTTTCTTTCTAATAATCATGACTGGCGATAGTTATAAGGCTGCCCTGGATTAAATTATTGATATATTACGTTCTCTTGCCATTTTTCTGAGCTTTTCAACTCTTTGCATCAGTCAAACATTCCGGAGGGCAATACTGTATAAACAGGGTCGATATCAAGAGTCAAAAAAGTTCTTTTGATTGCTTCCTTTTCGTAGCAGTTTAAAACAAATGGGGTCAGCTTCCTGTCTGTGTGTGTAAGCAAGTTGTGTCGAGACCATCCAACACCATACGTGCATTTTACTTGAGTGCCTGCCAGGCTGTGCCCGCGTAGTGTAGGGACTGATTCGGTTTTTTGGAGCTAATTCAATCATACCATGTGTGTTTTCTAACAGAAAAGGAAACTTGATGAGCAACAAAATCGTCTCGCGACAGACAAGTGCGCTTCTCTCCTTAAACGCTCATGAAGTTGTGAAATGAAAGTCTCAAAACCCTTTGACATTAGTTAGTTCATTTTTTTGAACGGTGCTCCTTTATTCGGCTCCTTCTAGAATCGCAATGGCGTTTTAAACGCGTAGATGGCCTCTACAATTTTGGGCTTTTGTCTTTTCAGACGAGTCTGGTGTTTACCCCACCTTGGAGAGAGGGACAAGTTGGTTGACTTGGGCAGCTATCTACACGGGATTTGATTCCCTACCCATGCGTGTGATAGCACGTCACTAGCCACGACATCCTCCGCCCTTTAGTTAATAAAGGGTGAAAGGAAGATAATCGCTCTCCTGAAGGCATTGTATAGCCCTACGCACCAATGCAAAAAAGACCATGGAAAGCAAGAACAACAGAAAGTCCCTTCTTTATGCATACCTTACCATGAAATAACGTTTGATAAGAGCTGGACACTGGCAGCGAGATCAACATCATCAGAGGCCGAGGTTGTCTGCTGAAAGCATTTTTATTCCTGAGAAAAAATATTCCATACATTTCACTATTTCTATCTAGCTACATCGCCCGTTGCACGCCGTTTCCGAGATGGAGAATGAATGCTCCTTAGAATAAGAAGCAGAGGCTTTGACGCTGAATTAGTGCTCGCCAATACGCACTTTGCCATGAACATCGATCCCCACTTAAGCTTGACAAGTCGAGTAGAGTTTTTACGATGGAGAAGGTGTGGTTCAACCCGTGATTTAATCATGTCGATCGCACCATTCATGGTAATTTGAAGTTCCAGAGGTCCCCTTATTTACGATGGACTTAGCAGTCACCTGAGCCGCGATCCATTGCCAGTTATTCCGTTGCTGACAACATCGAGGATGATATAGTCGGTCCGAAGGAAGAAGAGGGAGAGGGCCGTTTCTTATACCAAGAAATCGATGATAGCGGGAGCCGGACAAGTCATACGATATTGTCATGACCGTTGGACCAGAGCTGTTGATCACTGGAGCCCTCGCGACGTTAAACGAAGACTAGGACGGCCGTCAGCGCGATGCTCAGACTACTTCGCGAAAGCTCTTAACAAAATCAGTCTTGTGTTTTTCAAGCGGTTGCTGGACTACTCTACTCGCGACAGGGATGACTGGAGAGACGCTATTGGCGCCCGCTCGAAGAACTCTGATTAGCAGGACGCCAGGTCATACAGTTGATCTGAGGGTTGTGGGGCATCTGGCGTATTTCAGGTATACTGTAGGTGTACGGTATTTTTTGTATGTATGCTGCTAGTTTTCGAAGAAAAAAGGAGTATGCGTGATACATCCTGATTTCCCATTTACTCGACATTAGCCCTTCTCATCTATTCTGGCCCTGAGCTCAGCAGTCCAATTGTAACTTTCATTAACGCACAATTGACTAAAACCCATTGGGAAGCAGTGAGTGTGCACTTATTTGACAAAACGAGGGACCTTCTCACAATGCTCGAATTAAGGGCAGGTGAGGAATGAACGAACTGGGAGTTCTGGCGAAGTAGGTAGTCTTTCAGAAAAGATTCTTAGAAGCTTATGATAGTNTTCAGGTATACTGTAGGTGTATGGTATTTTTTGTACATATGTATGCTGCTAGTTTTCGAGGAAAAAAGGAGTATGCGTGATACATCCTGATTTCCCGTTTACTCGACATTAGCCCTTCTCGTCTATTCTGGCCCTGAGCTCAGCAGTCCAATCGTAACTTTCATTAACGCACACTTGACTAAAACCCATTGGGAAGCAGTGAGTGTGCACTTACTTGACAAAACGAGGGGCCTCCTCACATTGCTCGAATTAAGGGCAAGTGAGGATTGAACGAACTGGGAGTTCTGGCGAAGTAGGTAGTCTTTCAGAAAAGATTCTTAGAAGCTTATGATAGTAGTTGCGCCTTCCTCTCATGATAAGATTTTCTTTCCTGACAATACAATGTTATGGTTGATTCTTAAGCTGCTCTTGTTTTTCAGAGGAGAGCTGAGATTTTGGAGTTTGTAAAGTCAAAACCGGAGCTTCACGATCCTATTCCAGTGGAATTCATGACACGTGAGGAGAGGATTGACAACGCTGCAAGGAAGGTAATGTCTGGTGGCTAGATCTTACTAAGAAAGGCTTCAACAAAACTAAGTACAGTGGGGAAAATGCCGCAGATAGAAGGAAGGGGAAACAAGTTACAGGTATAGCAGTTTCTGTGAGGGTGCGGGATTGACGCTAGGAAAAGGGAGATTATTTCAATTTTTTGGATTGGGTGGTGTAGCATCAAACTACATTCAATTTTATTCGAATGTGTTTTCAATCAAGGGGACGTCCGAGAGCCTTTTAGAGGTTACGGCTTGTGCCCACGAAAAAAGTGTTTTGGGCCATTCGGAGGTTCCTGACTGATTGCAGGGGGTTTCTGGGATAAAGATCCACACCGGTGGTAGTCTCTCCTTCGCAGTTCCTCACAAATGAACTGATAGCAATCGACCGCTCCCAGAGAGACGGAGAATCGGAGCAATCAAGGCTCATGGTGAGTGGCAGGACTGGAGCGCGAACATAGGGCGAGGTTCGTGAGAAAGGAATGTTTGAGTGGAAAAGCATAACTTCTGTTCCCTCGTACGGGTTACATCCTATAGGGGCTATGCGCAAAAAGTAAAACAGCACTTTTAACACATAACCTTAACTTTCTGGTCGAGAATCTTGTTCTTCAAAAACCCATGTTCGCCTGTGTCACGAGTTTTCGTTGCTTGAGATTGTCTATTGTCAGATTGTGGCAATGACTGATAACCTGGAACAAATTGATGCGTCAGATTTCTTTGGCGAAGGAATGTACTACCAGTCGTGAGTTTCTGTTAGTTCTTTTTGCCGCTTATATTCTACTTCCTCGCTCTCTGTTTCCAGGCTGATCATGGGACGAGATCTTCATCCTTTATCATTACATTTTGTAATGTTTATTCCAACGATCCAAGGTCAAACTGACGACGAACAGCTGGACGAATGGTTGTCGTTAGCAATTTCTCGAGGAATCATCGGTACCTACGCCCAGACTGAGCTCGGTCATGGTGAGTTAGAAAGGGCAGCAGTAACTTTACGCTGGAACCATGTATCGTTAGAAATGGGAAAAAAAATCAGCGCCAAAGTATTAGAAGAGACCACCTTGCACCTTCAGTGAGTGTCGACTCATTCTTCCATGTCGAGCCTCGGGAGGTGTGGGTCGGTATGGTTATGTCAATGCACTTGCAAGATTAGAGGCCCTTTTCCCAATGGGTCTGTTGGTAAGGGAGGTGCATGCTCCAATCTCCACATGCAATCTGGGAGGAGAAATGAGTTGATTCCTAAATGGAATCTATGAATGACAGAATATTTTGAAGAGTAATTTTGAGGAACGTAGAGCGAGAATTTTAATTTATATAAATCGCTAAGTGTCACTGGATATGTTAGGGTGCTTTTATTTATTTGTTTGGGTTCGTGTATTTACGACGAATTCATAGTTACTTAACCTTTGGCTCAGAGTGTTCAAATTCTGATGAGGTAAAAACACTGCTCGTTCCTGAAAGGAGATGATAACATTCGCTATTGAGGACACTTAGAAGGGGGAGTCACTTAAATAATTGCTCCTATCGCATTAATGTCAGAACCTTGATACTTTGCTGGGGTGTTACGGTATTGTAGACGATTAGTGACAAGAACTGGTACTATCTCATAAGGCTATTGAGGGGCCCCATGAGGTGGGAACCACTGAAAACTACGGTTTTCGTATTCACAATGAAAACGGGTTTAATTTTGGATCGTTATCCGATGCACTATCTGCTCATAGATGCATAAGGGTGCATTTGTCTCTAACTACAGTTTCTCCCAGGTACAAATCTGAAGAATTTGGAAACGACTGCTACCTACGATCCGAAGACAGAGGAGTTCATAATAAACTCACCAACAATTACTTCAGCGAAGTATGTATGTTTTACTATCTATTTTTCTTATACCACATTTTTAAGCGAGAAGCGATTAACATAAGTACTCAGATCCGACTTCTACGATAGTTCCTATTTATTCAGTTCTTGGAGCAACTGTAGATAAAATCAGAGAGATGAATATAGATTGGCGCTCGCTCTTCTCTACGATTGAGTATCGAGAAATGATTTATATGGTGATTCTGAATGGGCTATAACTGACCTGCAATCAAATCAAAGGATCAAAGCATCTCTAGACGAATATCTTATGTATGTGCGGTCTTTATTCCCGGTGATCTCTAATAAGTGTACAGTTTTGAAGAGGCGTCTTTCCCTCTTGAAAGTTCTATGGCGGCCGGTTTCTCGAACTTCTCTTGAAGCCAAATCCTGGTTGGCAAATAAATTTTTTGAGGTATTCTGTATTCATTGATATCGCAGGCTAAAGTGTCATAGAAAGTGGAAATTGTTCGAGAAAAACAAATTCAGAGTCGAACTACGACGATTTTCGTGATATTTTCTTTTTCTCCCCACGCCACCTATGTAATCTACTGCCCAAGTGAGGCAGTAACTGAATACAATACTCTGGGTAATATAACTTTTGACTATCCTGTTTTCTCAAAAAAAAAGTGAGCCGAACAATTTCGCCACATTTTTTGAACGTCCTTCCCGCACATGATCGTGAGCATATACTTTTTAATTTAGCCGGTTATATTTCGGGTTTTTGAAGTACACATTTATACTTTCCTTTTGGTTATTTCGATTTAATTCGATTAGTCACTTCTATTCTTCAAGTGCCAGCACTGAAAGTGGACTACCGATGGGCTTTAGAGGCTCAAGCACTGACATGATTTCAGATGGTGGCCTGGTGCCCTTGGAAAATCGTCAAACTATGCAATCGTTGTTGCTCAACTATACACCAAAGGAGTCTGCCATGGACCACATCCATTCATCGTTCAATTACGAGATCTTGAAACTCACAAGCCAATGAAAGGTGCAGTGTTTTACATTTCATGGACCTCACCAATAATATTCAGTGTTTTAAGGGATTCGTGTCGGTGATATTGGGCCAAAGTTTGGGTTCAACTCAAGTGACAACGGTTTCCTGCTGTTTGACAACTACAGAATACCTCGACAGGGCATGCTGATGCGGTACTCCAAGGTTTCAACTTTAGTTTTCACTAGATAGTCGCGAATTTCCATTTTGAATAACTGAAGTAATTCAAAAGGTTTTTGGATTATTGCCTGTGATCTAAGTAGTTTTTGAACAGAGGGAAACGGCGTGAGCTTTTACCAGAGTGTTGACCAAGCCTCCTCAGATTTTGCTATCTCGGTCTCAAACTAAACTAGAATTCCAAATCTATGCCTTCTTTAACGTTACTGCTTAATTATGAGACATTTTATATCGTTGCAGTAGGCAGCACTCCCAAGACGTACACATGAGATAGCGAATCCATAAGATCGGATAAGCTCAGCAACATTTCTTGGGTTCGTAGAATTCTCGGTTTTCGATTTCAAAGACGCTTTCAGTGGTGTAGACAGTCCAGATTTATGAAATTATTTTTATTCCCTTTGGAAACGGGTTGATCAACTTCATCAAAAGTTTTGCTGCGAGATTAGAAAGGTTCATTCTGCCGAATAAGTGAGCGCTGATAGGGAGCAGGGCGTACTTCAGTGGTTGATTGACGAGAGTCGGAGGGGACCACGACTATTTACTGTGCACGACACTTTGGATGGGGGAAAGGTCGTTAGGCTAAGCTCTATGAAGTGCTATTCCAGGTAGAACGTGATGGCACCTACATCGCTCCCAAGCACTCGAAACTCGGCTACGGTACTATGGTATTCGTGCGATCGATTATGATCAAAGATCAAGCCACCCAATTGGCTGCTGCCGCTTGCATCGCCATACGGTACTCCGCCATTCGACGGCAGGGCGAAATTGAGCAGGGGTAAGTATTGGTCATTTCTGAGAGCTGTAAATTTGCTTTAATGCTGATGTGATTCCACTGAATTATAGCCTGAGTTCAATGCAACCTTACGTTGAGCATGTTTCTGTTAGGACTAGCTATTTCATAGGCCAAGGTGAGAATCAACCGTGGATTGTTTAGAAACAACATTTCTCAGGTAGCTAGGATGTTTAAGCGGCAACGCTTCCACTGACAGTATGATTAATAGGCGACTACAGGAACGATCCGCATAAAGGTTCAAAGTCTACAGACTCAAGGCTATAGAAAACACGCTATAGCGGATAGTGTTGTAGGGTTTTCAGAGTGGATTGCAGTGTATTTTTAATTGAATAGAAGAGTAGCGACCTAAAGGAGTGTGGGGATGATGACCGAGCACAGGGCGTTCTGAAAATGAACAGAAACTTAACCTTGGCTGAGAGGTTATAATGACTGATCGTACTGAGATCCTTTATTCGGTAGTGCACAAACAGTCTTGCGACTGGTGACTGGACTGACTGATGAACAGTGCACAGGAGAGTGCAGACAAGAAGTCGAAAAAGGTCGAAAACGTGAAGAG